TAAAAAAATCTCTAGGTTAGGGTTAGAGATCTCAAAAGTGTAATGCATGCAAAGTGACATTAGAATATTTCTGAACTAGAAGAGTTCTGCAAGAAAGAGTGATACCCCCCCCCCAAAAAAAATTTAGCTGTCTACAGGGAATGTCTGAAAGCAGTTAGTTCTGTCAAAGAAGGTGTTACCAAATACTGCCTAAAAGGATGTCCAAAGTTCTTCAGCTGTCATATTCAATGTTTGCAAATTTCTAAAAAATTGTTTTGCTTAATTCTGTACCATGTAGAAGTTGTGTCACCTTCTGTTCTTTTAGAGCAGAGGTTCTTAACCTTCTTGTGCCATGGACTCTTTGGGAATCTGGTGAAACCTACGGACTCCTTCTCAGAAAAATGTATTTAAATATGTAAAATTAAATACAGAGATACAGAATGCATTATAAAAGAAACCAATTATAACCCCACCATAAACATATAATACATGGCAGCTATCCATTTAGCATTACATTATTTATCTCACTTCTTTGTGCTTGCAAAGCCAGAGCCCTGTCAGAACTCAGTCCTGCTGCAGCTTGTCTAGGCCTAGAGAATCAAATTCTGGTAGCAATCCAACTTTGCATGTACAAGCCAGCAGTTTTCACAGAGCTCCTGCCTTCTGTGCCCATGCTGCATCACTGCATGAACTCAATCCTGTTCTGTAGGAAACATCAGCTATCAGTTTATCCAGACAGAGTGGGAGCAAGTTCTGACAGCAATCTGCCCTTCTGGCCATTAGGTTGCTTCAGTAGGAAAAGCCAGGTCACTTGGTCCAGCTTTGTGTGGACCCACAGACTCTTCCAGGCAAAATGGAAATGAGTTCTCACAGGAACTTGGCTTGCACAAACAAAGCGAGATTGTTGTCAGGATGATGGTTTGCACATACAAAGTTGGAACCCTGCAAGAACTTGATCCTGCTTTGCCTGAGCAAACTGAGTGTCACCTTGTCAAGGCAGAATGGGACTGAGCTCTCATTCCCAATGGTTGGTACTCTAGCTGCCACATTTTTCCCAGCTGCAATTTCTGAATATTTTTCAAGGGCTGCACTATGTGTTGCACATTGCAACATTTAAGTCAGGCTGTAATCAAGGCATGGATAAGTATTGCTAAGTCCAGCAGGCTCAGGAAGGGTCCCTGCTGCCGCACTAGCCATGACTGTGCAAACACTATTTTGATAACAGCCACCACCTGCAAACTGGGGATCAAATAGGATTCCCAGACTGTGAATCTATTCCTTTTGGTGGAGTCCAACCCAATCCAGAGCAGACTTCTCCTCAATCCCCAAGTTTTTTTTTCCTTCCCAATCAATACTTAATTTTAGCTTTGTCTCTCTCATCCAGCCTATTGAGGTTACATGATGTTCAAAGATATTGTTTGCTTCCTCTGAGTTACGGGTATGAAGTGGTGTCTTCAGCAGATTGATTGCATCTCACTCCAGAGTTCCAGATGGCTTTGTTCAACTGTTTTATGTAGATGTTAAAAAGTATGGGAGATAAAAGAAAGTCCTGGAGAGCCAGTTTGGTGTGCTCACTAAGGTGCTGGACTAAAAACCAGGAAACTGTGAGTTCTAGTGCTCCCTGAGGTATGAAAGCCAGCTGGGTAACTTTGGGCCAGTCACTCTCTCTCAGCCCCATTCATCTCACAGGGCTGTTGTTGTGGGGAAAACAGGAGGTAGGAGCATTAGATATGTATGCTGCTTTGAGTTTACCAAAAGTAAAGGCAGGATAAAAATCTAACAATAAATAAATAATAAAATATCACAGGTTAACAAGCCAGGTGTTGGGCAGCTGTAGACTCCTTGAACCACCTTCTGGACGTGTCTCAACAGGAACAACCAGAACCAAAACAACTAGACAGTCCAGAAGCATACTGTACCATGTTTATTATTACTGAAAGCCACTGAGAAGTCCAAGAATACTAGCAGGGCTGCACTCTCCCTATCTAACTTTTGCTGTGCATAAACCAAGGAGAATAAAGTAGTCACAGTACCATATATTGGACAAAATCTTGACTGAAATGGAACCAGAAAATCAGTCTCATCCAGGTGCATCTGGAGCTGGGAGGCCAACTTGTGATTGTCTTTTAATCACCTTGCCTAAAAATGGAATATCTGAGTTGGGCCTATAAATTACAAAGATTTATTGGGTCAAGGGAGGCTTTTTTAATAAGTACTTTATAACTGCCTCCTTTAGGCACACAGGAACATGTCCTGTGCTCAAGGAGGTACTGATCACCTTGCTTAACCATGAGGCCAGTTCTAGGAAAGCCAAGGATCAAGAAGGCAATTAACTGCGCTTTTTTCTCCACAACACTGTCCATACCTTGAGATCTACAAACTAAAACAACATTACAAGACCCTGGCCATCCTAAAGCAACAGCAAACACTCAGCACTGGCAGACTCTTAAATGAGATGGAATTCCATAGCAAACTGTGATTAATATAAAATGAAAGCCAAAGTTTCCAATTTGCATACTGATGAAGGGGGCAGAGGAGTACAACTAAACATGCCCCTTAATTATTATGATCTTGTCATAAAAATATTTTTCTTTTGTTTAAGACAAAATGATTACAATGAATTAGTTGTTACCAAAGTTTAAGATTAGCATTTTTTAAAAAATCAAATGCTTTTTGGCTTTCTAAAAGGAATTACTCTGCTTTAAGTCTAACAATGAATTTGCAGTTACTTACCACACCCAGCTTTTCAGAAGCATTTGCTTTCCACAAACGAATGTTCATTTCATCAGAGCCACACAAAATGTATTTGTTATCTGATGTCCATTTGACAGTGATGACATGTTGCATTCTCTTTGTATGATAGACCTCTCTAAGAACAGAAAATACAGTTTTCTTTCATTTTGAAAGATTTCATGGTATTTTACAGGGCTATGCAGCTTTTTGGATTCAGACTCCACAGCATGCTTGGGAGGTACAGGAGCATAAAAGTAGCATCTGAAATCCAAGCAGTTTTATAGACTTATCCTGAGAGCTATACTACCCTAATATTTTATTTCTAAAAATTATCTTATGCTGATCTTTATTATTAGGAAAATACCTGGAAGTTAAAAAGTCAAAATAATAGATATGTGAAATGAGTATTTGTTATTGGCCATGTTGACTATGACAACCATGTTGAGAATGAGCATAATCATCCCATGATACTTTCAACTTTCATATGTACCCCCCAGTCAAAAGTATCAATTCAAGGATGCCCTCTTAAAACCACCATAATATTAAATGAATGATATATTTAATAATAGTCATAACTTTCCCTCAAGTAAGAAATCAGTATACAGTTTTCTTATGGCCTTTTTTTTCAAATACAATTTTTAGTGTCCCAGGATTGGAATTCTTTATGGATTTTAGACCAGGAATGGCTTATTGTTCATGGTCACTCACATGCTGGTCACTTCCCACTTGGATTACTGAACCATGCTTTACATGGTCCGGGACATGGCAGCACACACAGCATTGGGCACCCCAAGGTTTGCCCATCTTACACTCCTGTTGTGTGAGCTGCACTAGCTCGTTTCCTTCTGGATGCAATTGAAAGTGCTGGTTATTATGTTTAAAGTCCTACAGGTAGTCCTCACTTAACATCCATTTGTTCAGCGATCATTCAAAATTCCAACGGCACTGAAGGGACTTACAACCAGTTCTGAAAGTTCTGGCTGTCACAGCTTCCCCACGGTCACATGAAAAAATTCTGGCCCACCCACATTAACAACCAACCCCCTGGCACTGCCACTGCACCCCCCCACACACCCAGCTGACCTTTGTCATCATCTTTGCCTGCCTCCCCTCTGCTGGGCTCACCATCCTGGCCACGCATGGGGGAGGCACCATGGAAACATCCCACAGGGTGGCAGGTGAGGGCTGCGGGCAGGTGTGTGCCGCGCCATGCGTCACTAACAGCTAGAGCCTTCTTTCATGAAAGAATATACACACAACACACAAAAGAAGGCCAGAGCAAAAGATGGCCCCAGCTGCACCAGCACAAAAGAAGGCCCTGGCCACTGCAGAAAAGAAGGCCAATACAAAAGAAGGCTACACCAATGTGAAAGAAAGCCCCGGCCAGTAGTGGCACACAGTATGGCAGGAAGAGCTGGGCGGCGGGGGCAGCTGGTGGCGGTGGGTAGGCAGGCAGCCAAAAGGGCAGAGATTGGGGGGGAATAGGTGGATGGGGGGAGTTGAAGTAGAGCCAGTCCCTTACCTTCTTCCAGGAATGGCTGTATTTGGGTGGGTCCTTGCCTGACGACCACGTGGGATTCGCTCAACAACAGCAATTGGATTTGCTGGAACTGCCATCGCTAAGCAGTCAGGTGACATTTCGCTTAATGACTGTGTCACTTAGCGATGGATTTGCTGGTCCCAATGAGGGTTGTTAAGTGAGGACTACTTGCATGGGACCAGGTTATTTGCAGGACTGCCTCAGTTTAGATAGTGTAGCCACACTCCAGATCCCTTCCCTTAAATGCTGCCATCTTACGGGACCCAGGAAACATGCCTTTTCCATGGCAGCCCCTGCACTATGGAACACCCTTCCCCCTGAATTCCATCAGCCCTTACCCTCTTAACCTTCTGAAAAGCACAAAACCTGGGTTTTCCCCCAAATGTTGGGATAGGGTGAGATTAGCATGGGACGAACATGTTGTGGGCTGCATCAGAAATTTAACTGTAGCACCAGGCCTTTTTTGTTTTCTGTTTTACTGTTTTTATTTTATTGTTGGTATATATTGTTTTTATCCTTGGGTTGTGAACCACCCAGAGTTTAGTTTAAGATGGGCAGCCATATAAATGTGATAAAAAAAAAATTTTTTTGTTGGAACTGATCTAGCTGAAGCAACTATTTTCCTTTTAAAAAAAATTTTTGTCCTTGTAACAGGATTTAAAAACAAATTACTCTTAGAGGACACCTGTAATACAATACCATATGAATGAATAAACTGATTCTTTCATTTAATCACTCAAACATCTGGCTCATTTACCAAAAGCTCTTAATAAAATTAATAAACAAAATATCTCTTATTTCTTCCGACTTCTAAAGTTTCACATTCAGAGTTTAATTAGGAACATAAAATAAGCCCTGGCATCTAGGCCAAGAGCACTGTGATAGAAACTTATATAATTAAGTCCATAAATTTAACGTGGTTTTGCTATGTATAGAGTTATGCATATTTATGAGACCCAAGTCTTTTGAGGGGATGTTCAAAGAAACTTAATAAAACCTTGAAAAAAATTCAAGAAGAGATTCTTTCTCAAATGAGAGTACAGATACAAGCATATTGAAGAATTCTGCTTTAGAAGCTCTACTTGTTCCCTGGCTGAAATTACCTTGGAGAAAAAACATCTCAAAACATTTTAAGAAAGAAGAAATTATTAGCATAACTGCTTTTGTTTTTTATTGTCTAGTTGTTTCTGATCTAGATCCTAGAAGCCAGCTGATATAAACTATTTTGAAATATTAATGCAAAACCACATTGTGAATGTGAGTCTTTTTTATGATTTTTCCTGTGCCCTAAGCACATACATCATAAAACCTATATCGTATCTGCAAAAGCCATGCCAACAGCACTAACTGCAAAAGCATGCAAAGCTACAGATGACAGCTTGAAAGTTTTGTTGAGAAATATGCATTCAACCTCCACGTCCACTACAACTTTGCATAAACTATGCTGCTGATCCATCAGCATGTAACCATTTCAAAAAGCAAACCATATTCTTTCTCTTTCATCCAGAGATGAAACGCCCCATTGATCTTAGCACTTATTTCAGTGGTGAGCAGCTAAATCTCCCCACTTAACAGTAGTTAAATTGTGCTTAACAGTAGCTTAACTTTCTTGATTGGCAATTTATGTGGCACAGTTGGAATCATCTTGAAAAAACAAAAAGTCCTGGGTAAATAAAAATTCATCTCCATTGTTGCGTTCTGTCCTAAGCAAGTACACTTGAATATTAGAGATATGGAACAAATAAGGAGGTTTTTGAACCCAAGAACATTTTAGTCTGGCCATTTTTATAACAGTATCAACAAAGAGCAGAACAATGAAACACTGAAATACACAAGTAAAAATTTTACAAGCAATGCTTTTGGCTTAATGCAACTAAGATTGTATCTTTGCAAGAGATTCAGTATATTAAAACAAATTGAAAGATTTAAGATTGGTGGCAAAGGAGGAACTCAGAAGCATAATTATTACAAAAAAATTCACTGACCTGCTATGACCTTTATCTGCAGGAAAAATGCGAATGGATTTATCAAAGCTGGCAGACACAAATTCTTTTCCTGTAGGGGAGTAATCCACATCCAGGACTGCAGAGACATGGTCCATATGAACCATTAAAGCCTTGCCAAGGAACCGCATATCAAAAGTATATAAGCTGCAAGAAAAAAAAAAGATGTAAAGGTACTAGTTTTAATTACTTTATAACTGATTGATCAAACAGTGTGGTAAAGCAGAGGTTTGCCACTCAGTGCCTATGGTTGTCAGACATTCCTCAGAACAGTGCCTCTAGTCCTCATCAAAAAAATATTTTTTTAAAAAATGGCTGATATCTGGGAAAACATGTCTAAATTACTTTTTGATTTAGGACTGACTGGTTAATGGTATGGGAAGCTGAAAAGGCTGCCACTACTGTATTAAAGGCAAGTGAGGTAGAATAATAATCAAAAGCTAAATGGTCTTAAATCCAAGTATTCTGCTAGATTTTCGACTGACCCCTGAACGTGTTCACAAACAATACAGGTAGTCCTCAACTTACGACCTTTCATTCATTGACCATTCAAAGTTACGATGGGGCTGAACAAAGGGACTTATGACTGGTGCCCAAAGTTACGGCCCACTGCAGTGCCGCTGCGGTCATATGATCAAAATTTGGGTGCTTGGCAGCCCACCTGCACTTATGACTGCAGGGACACTTCCCCCCACCCACCTATCTCCCCTATCTATTCCCTTTTGGCCCCCTGCCGCCTTGCACTACTCACCCTAGCTGACCTTCGCTGTCTTCTTGCTCCCGCTGCCGATGAAGCGTGCCTGGCCTGGCCCTTCACGAGGCAGCTGCTGGCCATGTGAGGCTTTCTTCCTCAGATTGCACATGGCAGTTTCCTCGTGAGACCTGGAGAAGAGGG